AATAAAACATGTATTACCACATTCATAGTGAAAAAATGTAATACATCGAAAATATACAGAAAATATACTTACCTCGGGCATGCGCATTGGCGTTTTTGAATGCTTATGTTTGCGAGTTTGAACGCTTATGCGAAAGCGAGATTGAAACGGGATCTTAGTATCATGTCACCGTAGTTTCAAACCCCAAGTAATGTACCTCTGATAAAATACATTGTTCACATAAAATTCAAACACGAGCAGTGTGACAATCCCCACCCTTTAATTTTGACAAAAAAACCATGCAGACAATAGTGATTAGCATGCACATATGAAAATTTGAAGATACTATGTTGTCATGGTTACAATATTAATTATAAAGTACTGTAAACTGTAAAATATTGTGCTACAAGTAATGTTCAGAGTCTGGTTTCGGCCACTTGTTGATATCAAATTTCTGAACTCATGAAATTCAATAAAATTTGAAATTGTTTGATTGTTTGTTTACAATAGTTTACAAAATCAATACTGCATAAATTTAGTTAAAAAACTAAACAAATTTGGCTGCTCACTGCAATTGAGGAATGCAACTTCATCATACATCGTGGGGAAGGTAATAATAGGATTTTAGTGGAATTTTCAATAAAAACTGATTTAATGTACAAAAAAATAACAAGTTACAACTGATTAATTATGACCAGATTAAAAGGCAGATATGAACTAATATTAATTGAGAATTAAGTGGACAAAATTCATTGGGGGATTATTTATTTTGTGGTAGGTGACAAATTGGTTGGCAGTAAATGAATTCATTATCCCTCCCATGTACACTATGCTTACCTGAGCATGTCTTGCCATCCCTCTGCAGAGTGAATCCAGCGGCACATCTACATACTTTAGAATGTCCTTCTCCAATCAGACACACATGATCACAACCACCATTGTCAGTTAAGCAAGGATGGTCAGCTACAAACACAAATATATTGGATATCATCATTATTAATATCATATTATTATCATTATTAATAACTACTAAGATAATCATTGTTTAGCACCCTTGATATCATCCATCAATATCAAGATAATCAACCATTATCAAGATCATTATCAATTATTATCAGATAATTATCATTGAAGATTATAACCATAATTATTATCATTTACGTTATCTAAATCATTATCATCTAAAATCATCACCTTCAAAATCATCATTCATCATCAACGATGATCAACAATAATCATCATTATCATCTAGATTATTATCTAAATCATCACTGTCATAATCTTTATTTGAACTTCAACAGCAATTTCAACAAATTGACAAATTTTTGTAGATGGATATTTTGTAACTTGAATGTATAACATGTATGTTTGTTAAGGTAGCGAGAAGGGAAATTTTCACTTTTTTCTTGATTTTTCAAAAATTTATAAAACGGCTACTTTAGACCTTGATACATCACCCTAGGTTTACAAAAGATCGAAATTGCAAAATAACGTTGCTCAAATTAGTGTTTTAAAGCGCTAGCAGAAAAGACTACAACTGCCGTTTCGTGGATATTTGCATAGTGTTTATCTTTGGAAGGACTTAAATGATAACATCTTATCTGTATACTCTGTTGTTGACGATTCTGATATAACGGGTGATAAGCTTCCTGTCGCAAACAATGT